TTTTCAGCGACTGTTTTAAAACGTTTAATGAGTCTATCTAAGATTGGATGAAGTAGACTGTAATTGCTGTTATGTTTACATTGTGTCCATGCGTCGCCAAGGTCTCGAAAGTTTAGGATGGTTTTTATTCCTGTTACCCAATTTTGTACGCCTGCATCATCTAGCTGTACTTCTGTTGAAAAGACGTGACATACTAAATATAGGCGTTTTCAAAACCTAGTTTAAAAGCTTGACAAAGACACCAACCACACCACCACCACCACCACCACCACCCACACCCTCATCCTTCCAGGTGGACCAATGCCTGATCTGATTTCTTTCTATATCTTGCAGCCGAATATGGGTAATTCACAGGGACAGTTGAAGTCGTCGAGGTTTGAAGCGGCTCTACACACATCGATTGAGCATTCATTACGATCACACAATGTTGCTCCACAGCCCGTCTTCTCACAGTTGTATCTTGAAAAAGGTAAAGTGTAATTTGTTTGTCTTGTATCTGTCTTGTGTCTAGACGGCGATAATGATTTCCATTTGGAATCAGCTTTGTGCAGGGGGGCATATCTACTTAGGTTTGGGGGAGGGTATTTTTACCTGGTTCTTTTTTTTTCAAACAAAGAACTATTCACTGTAAATTATTATCAATTTGATCATATATGTATGAGAAATTGTTGATATCTGGTTAAAAATTAAAAAAAAATAATATATAAGGGTGTTCTAACCAAATTCATTTTTGAGTATGTCACATAACATGTTTGTTTTTTAGTAGTACATATGATAACTTAAATGACAGGTGTGTGTCTATGATCAAAATAAATTGTATTTTACTAGTGATTATCCAGCATAGAATAAATGTAATTTTTGGTAATTGTACATGTATGTGCTTCTGTGAGAGCAGTGTTCTGTTCTCTCCAGGAAATTGTCTCCGGTTTGTGGCTAATTTGCACAGTAAGTTGCATTCTCATAAACATAATGCAAATAGCTTCTAATAGCAATGTGAGAAAGAAGTTCTTTTTTAATGGAAAGTCACTTTAAAATTGAATTAAATAAATTATTTAAATTTGTACTATTATGACTTGTTTTAACCATGTCATTGAGCTGAATAATTTCACCATAGAATCCAAAATAAATATAAAATCAAAAATAAAAAGAAAATTTATTTCCATATTTCCTAGCCCAATTTTAATATAACAAAAATTACCATTTTAAATTTAATCTGTATGTGTCGGACAATATTATTATTATTATTATTATTAGCAGGGAATGATTTGACCCTTTAAAATGTTTTGCAATTATTTCTGATTTTTTTCCTATAATTTTTGAGCAATTACTATGGTGCAGACATGTCTTGAAAAAAAAATTTTAATTAAATAAACATTATGGAGGTTTATTTCATGGAAGGTGGCAAAAGGTGTGAAATCACAATTACATAAAAACTATTAATATTATGACTGACTTGGCAATTTGCTTACAACAGTTTCATAGCTTTTCATTCTTAATTTCAAATATTTTTGTTTCACTTGATAAACCTTGTTCTATAAATCAATTGATTCCATTCTCTTCTTAAAATATAGGTAATGTGACCGTCGTACCAGTGAATACTAGCAGGGATTGATTTATCCCGGAATAAGTTTATTCACCTTAGATTTGAAATTATCCCAATATATAATAATAATTAAAATAGTACTATTATCAGTTAGTTAAAGATAATAATATAATGTTTCGCATTTGCTCTCTTAGTACAAAAGCAAAAAGTACATTTTTTGTATGCTGGATCATTAAAATATGACTTTGTTTGAGCATAGACACACCTCTGTCATTCACATTAATAAACACTTGTGGTAGTACATGTAATAGAAAAAATATGGTATGTTGGATCATTAAAATATGACTTTGTTTGAGCATAGACACACCTCTGTCATTTACATTAATAAGCACATGTGGTAGTACATGTAATAGAAAAAATATGGTATGTTGGATCATTAAAATATGACTTTGTTTGAGCATAGACACACCTCTGTCATTCACATTAATAAACACTTGTGGTATTACATGTAATAGAAAAAATATGGTATGCTAGATCATTAAAATATGACTTTGAGCATAAACACACCTCTGTCATTCACATTAATAAACACTTGTGGTATTACATGTAATAGAAAAAATATGGTATGCTAGATCATTAAAATATGACTTTGTTTGAGCATAAACACAACCTGTCATTTACATTAATAAGCACATGTGGTAGTACATGTAATAGAAAAAATATGGTATGCTGGATCATAAAAATATGACTTTGTTTGAGTATAGACACACCTCTGTCATTTACATTAATAAGCACATGTGGTAGTACATGTAATAGAAAAAATATGGTATGCTAGATCATTAAAATATGACTTTGTTTGAGCATAAACACAACCTGTCATTTACATTATTAAGCACATGTGGTAGTACATGTAATAGAAAAAATATGGTATGCTGGATCATAAAAATATGACTTTGAGCATAGACACACCTCTGTCATTCACATTAATAAGCACATGTGGTACTAATAGATCAGATACGTGATATATTATACACAAAGGCCGTAAAAAGCTACTAGAAACAGTCACTATTAATCTGTTTCTCAAATATATATGCATTATTTGTTCATAATCTTTTCGACATTATGAATAATACGTACTCAGTTTTCAAAATAGCCTAGTTTCAGCGCTATAGTCATTATATTTCTTTCTTTCTTGAGTTCATCAAAAGAGTTGAATGAGGCACATATTTATTTTGAATGGGTCAATAAATTAAGTAATGCTATTTATTGCTATGCTGCGTCTTGTGTGATCTGAATGCAAAGGATTGTGTTTTGCATAGAGCAAGAAGGAAAAGGTCATACATGGCTAAACAGGAATATTATCATACAACCCTGATTGTGATAATAAACTAGAATAAGCTACTCAAATTTCATTCTTGAAATAACATTCACATAAATTAAATTTAATAATCAAATTAAATAACATGCACATAAATTAAATTTAATAACATACACATGAAGTATATTTAATAGCTGAGCCTCAACGTGGAACAAATTGATCATCTTGCAATAACACTGAACTTACTTACTGTCAAATACTTTATTTTCACTTGGAATTAATTTTTGTTATTTTCGCTGAAGGAATGATTCAGTGAAAATAAAATCCAGCGAAATACATTTTTCCTATATTGTACATTCAATAAAAATCAGTGAAAATAAATTCCATACAAAACACCCAGTAAGTCTTTTCAGCGAAAATTAATTCCAGCTAAAATAAATTATTTTACAGTACTGTAAAATGACTAATTTTCACTGGGTTTAAATTTCACTGATTTACCATTCCAGGCATATTCAGTGGGTTTTAAATTCACAGTTTTATCATTTAGATAATGTGTTCTATGCTAAATTTTACATATTCACTGGGTTTTAATTTAGCGCATTTTTCCAGTCAGCGAAATAAGCTAAATTAAAACCCAGTGAATAATCACCCCTTTACAGTAACTTAAATTACAGACGTGTTTCTAAGGTCGAAATAAGGAATATTTTAATGATTCAGTGTTTGTCATGACTTTTGGTTTACATGCAGTCAAAATGAAGAGATTAATCATTATCTTCATCAAATGTTTTCAATTGTACATAAAATCCTGATGCAAAGCTATTTCTATCCATGATGTATTCTCACATGATTTGACCTGCAACATCGTCCTTTGACCTGATACATGTAGGTCAAGTTTGAATGCAGTGTTGTACTGAAGCAATTCTCTAGGAATTGTCAAAGGCATTCCGGTAACACAATGCGAAAGTGAATTATTGATGTTGAAGCATGATCTGTTGGAATTGATTTTGGAAAAAAATGACATGATACTTATTTGAAAAAGATGGAAATTAGCAATTTTTGAGAGGTAAACTGAATATGGAATTTACGGCTAACAGATCATTGTCGAAGTGTAGTTTTACATACGGTCTATGTATTTGCATGGTATTTATGGTGGTTGATATTCTTCACACTGTACCATATAAATTTGTGTACCGGTATTCGAAAAAATGTAAATAATTATTTTTGAAGGGTAGGGCGATTAGCCGATCATGAACCCAAAAGTAGAAATGCCCTATAAAAAGAGGTGGGCACTTAGTAGAACATGAATGCTGAGTCGAACGAGTACGGTAACATAATTTGGTCTCCTAGACCGGTCACTGATAGCATAGTGGTTGTTGCATTAAACTCATGATCGGTAGACCCAAGTTCAAATCCCACCTTAGGCTGAACATCAAAAGGGTCAACACCTACCCTGGGTGAGTGTGCCACAGACTCAATGGGGGAGCCTTAGTTAATGTCCGCAGGTGCTAGTGTTCCACATAGCGCATTTGATAGGGAGATGACCGCACAGCCCTGTCATGTAGTCCCATGTGTCAGCACTAGCACTTGTAATTTGCACATACCAAAAACAGTGACATTCAATGTCCGGAACTCGCCTAGCACAAAAAACATTAAAAAAAATAAAATAATTTGGTCTCCTAGCTAAGATTTGTATCAGAAGGCTCAATCAAGAAAGTAGTTTGCTAAATTGTCTTCTTTCCGTCATTTAGAAAATTATTTGGGTAATGAGTCATTAAGAAACAGATTAGAAGGCTAATTATTTGGGTAATGAGTCATTAAGAAACAGATTAGAAGGCTAATTATTG